CATTTGTAATGGTAAAATAAACTGTATTACCTAATCATCAGTCATGTCTGAGTCAAAGCTTGAAAGTTAAAAAAAACAAACCAGGCAATAGGAAGAGCCTAAATTTGAGTAATATTTATTTCTGTGAAATAGCTCTCTTTGTTTTAGCAGTCTCCTGTCATCAGTGAACCAAACAGAACACTGTAGTCATTAACCCAGTGGGTAGGTGGCTTTCTGACCCACTCCAGGAAGTCACCCTGGGGGAATTCCTAAATCTTTTCAGACAAAACCAAATTACTGATTTCTTACCTCACCAGGAATAAAGCTTGTGATTTACTTATAAGTGAATCATAGCTCTGAGTCTGGTTTACTACTCCAAAAGATGAAATTTCCTTTGGAAAGGAGTGCTTCCTTCTACAGGGTGGGAATAAAACAAACAGTAGAAACAAATAATACCGCTAGGGAGAGAGGGTGATTGTGGGCATTACACTTTCCAAGTTAAACCTCAGAACCGCTACGGAGTCAGACAGCCTGGTGTGAAGTTGGACTGTCTCACTTGTCTGATCTTGGGCAGTTTACACAACCTTTCTGTACTTCAGTTTCCTCATCTGTAAAATGGAGATAATATTAATAATAGCGCTTATCTTAAATAGCTGTAGTGAGAATTATTAATGGATGTAAAGTGTTTGATAAGTGTCAAGGCACATGGAAGTGCCATATAAGTGTTAGACAGTATTGACTAAAAGCATGGACTGCAGAGCCAACTGTTCCTTGCCCTTCCAGGTAGGTGACCTTGGGCAGGTAACTTTACTTCTCTATGCCTCCATTTTCCCCTTCTGTAAAACTAGATAGCATTTACCTCAACAGGACTGTGTAAATACTAAGTGACTTAATATAGGTAAAGCTCTTAGACTAGTGACTGGCATATAGGAAGCACTATAAAATGAATTTATTATCATTATTATTGCATGATTATTATTATCTTGGATTACAATTCAGTGCAAGGTTTTAGAAGCATTGATTTCTTTCAAATATCCTGCTTCTTTGATCACTATTTCCTAAGTCCCTTAATTGATCCCTTTCCTTTGGTGGCTTCCAAAGCCTATTTAGTCAATTCCTAAGGATTCATATTCCTGACCCTCTGATCTCATCTTATCCCTTCTCCTTTGGTAATATCACTTTAATATGTCCATTATTATCTCTTAGGAAGATAACTTCTAAAGCTGAACTAATAGCTCGGGTCTGTCTACGAAACACCAGACCTTATCTGGACACAGATGTTCCTTAGGCTTTTCAGACTGTACAGAACAAAACTTATGTATCCCCAAAACCTTTTCCTCCTTGTTCTTGTCTTACCAGGTTTGACTCCTCTCTCCCCCTCATCCTTCATATCTAATCATCAAATTCTATTGAGTCTAATTCACAATAAATTTTGAATTTTTCCTGCCACTTCTCTAGTCCACAATTACAGTAACCTTCTAATGTGTCATGCCACTTCCTGAAATCACCCTCTGAAATCAGTATCACACATTACTCAGCATAAAGAGGAAAGAAATCCAGATACATGCTACAACGTACATCTTGAAAACATTATGCTAAGTGATATACTTACTTATACTTACTCATACACTTACTTACACTTGAACGGTGTCCTCAGAAGTTCATGTTCACCCAGAACTTGTGACTGTGACTTTATTTGGAAATAGGGTCTTTGCAGATGTAATCAATTTAAGACGAGGTTATACTGGATTAGAGTGGGCCCTAAGCCCCCCATGAGTCGCATCCTTACAAGAAGAGGAAAATTTGGATAAAAAGAGAATCAGAGACACAGACACACAGGGGAGAATGCCAGGTAAGGACAGAGGCAGAGATTAAAGGGATGCATCTATAAGCCAAAGACTGCCAGCAACCACCAGAAGCCAGGAAGAGACAGAAAGGATCTTCCCCTAGGATCTCCCCATAGGAAGCATGGCCTTGTTGACACCTTGATTTTAGACTTCTGGTCTCCAGAACTTTGAGACAAAAAACTTCTGTTATCATAAGCCACCTAGTTGTGGTAATTAGTTTCAGTGAAACTAGTATGGATGGTATGGATATACCAATTTTGTTTATCCATTCATTAGTTAATGGACATTTGGATTGTTTCCACTTTTAGCTATTATGAATAATACTACTTTGAATATTCATGTGCATTTATGATCTATTTTGAATTAATTTTAAAAATGGCATGAGGGTTAGGTTGAGGTTCATTCTTTTAATCTAAGGATGTTCAATTGTTCCACCACTATTTGTTAAAAAGACTATCCTTCCTCCATTGAATTGATCTTGTACCTTTGTCAAAAATCAGCTGGGGCTGGGTGCGGTGGCTTATGCCTGTAATCCTAGCACTCTCAGAGGCCAAGGCAGGATGGCTTGAGGCCAGGAGTTCAAGATCAGCCTGAGAAAGATTGAGACCCCGTCTCTACCAAAAATAGAAAAATTAGCCAAGCATGGAGGCATGCAACTGTAGTCCCAGCTCTTCGGGAGACTGAGGCAGGAGGATCACTTGAGTCCAGGAGTTTGAGGTTGCAGTGAGCTATAATGACGCCACTGCACAGCCTGGGCAACAGAGTGAGACCCTGTCTCAAAAAAAAAATCAGTTGGCCATATTGTACTTCTATGATGCTACTTCTAGGTTCTCCATTGTTTTCTGTTGATCTATACCACAAAGTCCTGAAATCAAGGCTACACATAAGTCTTTATATCAAGGAGAGAAATTCCTCCAACTTTATTCCTCTTTCTCAGAATTGTTGTAGCTGTTCTAGTTTCTTTGCTTTTCTATATAAATTTTAGAGTAATTTTATCTACATTTACAAAAAATTTTGCTCAGTAAATCCTAAGGTTTTATAAAGCACTTGTATGTGGATAACTTCCAGAGTTACATCTTCAAGACCAGGCTCTTCTGAGCTCCATACTTGAACATCTAACTACCTACTTGACAGCTATACTTCGCTGTTGGTTTTGAATGTGTTAATTCTGAGATGCTCGTGAAATCTTCAAGTTTATCCTTTGGTTTTCCCCATCTCAGTAAACAGAACCACTACTTAGTTGTTCAAATCAAAAACCTCTGCGAAAGAGCTAGAATGTCTTTATAAATACACACACCCATTAGAACATATCTTACATTAGCTTGAAAACATTTCACTGTTCAATTGCTCTTCCAGTAAAATCCAAACTCCTTACCTAAGGTCCACAAGGCCCTCTCATCACACATCCCTATCTTCTTGAAGCTCCAACCTCAGACCTCCTTTCTGGTCCAAGCAGGGCAAGGAACTACACAAGTGAGGTGTCCCAGGTGCAAAATTTAAGGAGGCACTCACTGCGTTGGCAGGACACTGAGAGTGAGTACCTTCTTAACCTTTGCTCCCTAGGGGCCTCACTTGTCCCACCCTGGTCTAGGTCCTGGATCCCAGGTTTTTTACTGCCTTAGGGCCTTGGTACTATCCATTTCTTCTGTCCGGAAAGCTCTATTCTCTCACTCTTTTATGGTTTGTCATTCAGGATTCTGCCCACGTCTAACTGCCCTATCTAAAATAGAAACAACTAGGATTTATTTACCTCTTATGTTGAGATACGCCCTATTCCAAGCCCATTACTTCATTTAATCCTCATAACAACTCTACTTGGTGGGCACTAAAATTATTTCCATTTTATCGATAGAGGTAACTGGTGCAGAGGAAAAAGCTAAGCAAATTGCCCAAGGGCTCACAGCTGCAGTTAGCAAGTGATTCCTCCAGGAAACAACTTAACTGGTTTGATTCCAGAAAGTGAACACACTTATTCATTTCTTTTGAGGCACTTACAATCTGCAGTAGTCTTGTTTGTTTCCTTGCATGTTGTCTACCTCTCCTCGTTGAATGTGAGCTCCATGAGGCAGCTTGGCTGGTATTTGATGTTGTCTCAAACCTAGCTGTGCCTGGCTATACTCAATAATCCATAACATTTATTGAATGAATACCTTTAGAAAGACAGTTGTGGCCCTAAAGTAACTAAACTGCTTAAAAATACTTACCTTTGAGAGTCTCTGAAGTAAATAATTTCAAAATCTTATATCAAAGAATCTTTAAGAAAAAAATTTACTACGAAAGCTTTCAAAGAATGGTGCATGGCTACTTTCCTTTTCAATCATCTTGAGGTACACAAATGTGCCCCATTCCTTGATGGATCTACCATTCTATGGTAGCAAAAACAATCACCGTGTTACCAGCATTCCATCCAGAAGTTAGATGCCGAAAACTGACTTTGAGCTTGGGCCGCTTTCACCTGGAGTTGTTTGTATTATCTACTTGCTCTCTGGACGTTTAAATCATTTTTTCTTCCCAGCTCTTTGAATCCACTGTTCCCACACGCCCCTCCTTTCCTGACTTTTTCCTCTAGGGCATCTACGCTTCATAGCCGGGAGTTTCTAAATCTAAGCTGACATTGGAGATCCCACGAAATTTAAAGGAAGAATTCTTTTGCGGACGGTATTTCTCCTTGCCCCTTTGTTGGCTCTCATTTGTGTGATGGCTTCTGGAATGTTTGGGCGATGCTCCTTAGGGATGTGTTTTGGCCAGTAGCAGTCCATCTCGCAGGGGACACATGTTTGACAGTGGGTTTGGCAGGGGGCAGAAGAAGGGGATAGCGGGGGAAGGCTAGTCTTATTTGGCATTAAACCCCATTCTGCTCCCGCCACAAGTAAGGCATTCCCTGCAGAGTAAGAACCTCATTAAGCAAATACTCTAAAAAAGAATGAAGGTGCGTCCCTGAAAGGAATTGGGAGGTACCAGCCAGGAGCCTGGCACTAGAACTTTGTCATCCGGCAGGCCCCCTCAGACACGTCAGATTTCCATCTCGGGTGGCAGAAGTTTGGAGGGAGCCAGTGAGGTCAAGAGTCCTGCACCTACGCGCCTGCGTCAGAGGTTCCCAAGGCCCAGGCCCTCGCGCGTCGCTCCTTCCGGTGCAACCATTCCCGCGCAGCCTTGCGCGCTCCCCGAGTGCGCAGGCGCCGGGAGAGCCGGCCGGCGCGCGGCGCGAGTAGGGACCTTCCTGGCAAGTATGGCGTCGGGCACGCCACGCGGCCTGGCAGTGGCCGGCGGAGGCGAGAGTAGCGACAGCGAGGATGACGGCTGGGAGATCGGGTATCTCGACCGGGTATCTCAGGTAGCGGAGGATGCCTTGTCTTGACCGCGCCTCCCATCAGCCTCCCCTGGCCCTCGAAGGCAAAGCCTAGCCTTGCGAACCCTCTTACTTCCTCGCGTGTTTCCCCTTTTCCCAGTGGAAATATGGGCGTTTGGACTTAAATCCATGGAATTTTCCTCTTGTTCCCCTATTGTGGTTTCCATCAGATGTGCTTATTTAGATCATCGTAGCTCTGCACTTGGGTTTGGACCCGTCGTTATCCATTTCCTTTTAAAGATAATTTTAGACGTGAATTCTTTACAAACTTTGTATATTGGTCGAAACAAAAAAAAAAAAAAAAAAATCCTATATACCTAAACAAACATGATTGTTTCCTGATGCAGTGGAAATGAAAATATGCATAGCAAGATTAAAAAAAAAAAAAACTTTGTTTTTTTAGAAATTAAAAAGGCCGTTACCTGTTGAAGAAAAGAATGAAACATTTAAGAAAGCATTGACCACAGGAGATATTTCATTGGTCCAGGAGCTCCTAGATTCTGGTGAGAGATGAACGAACGCAGTTGCCCTTATTTTAGTTGCTTTTTTAATGGAAATACGATGAATATTAATGTATCAGTTGTCCTACGTATATATCTTAGTTGACTTAGTTGTCTGCCTTATTTTCTTCTTTTATCCTTATGTTTGGAAGGCTACCCTAATTATCTTCCATTAGTTCTTACAACCTATTCAGGAGGCCTACTCTGACTAATCCTACCCCACTCTGATCAATTTTATTTTACATTACTTGGCTATAATATATATCTGGAGAATTGTTTCTAGTCATGTACATTTTATTTCTTTTCCCTCAAAATTCACATGTTGAGAGTCATGTACATTTTAGATATGTTCTTTCCCTCTGCTTTTTTGTTTTGTTTTGGTGGAATGAAGCCTGAGCTAGGAATCAGAATAAATATCTGGATGTTTGTTCCAGCTTTACTGCATACTCAGTGTGGTTCCTTGGGATAGTCACTTAAACTTCCAGAACATCAATTTCTTTATGTACAGCATCATAATTCTGCTCTGGGCCCCTGATATTTTTTCTGTGGATTAGATATTTTTTAATTACTTTCACATACAAATATAAATTGTTGATTATAACAATTATCCAAAGGAGGAACAGGAATTTACCATCTAGTTGTAGATAACAAAACATTCACATACAAAGTAGTTAGATGAGATTGTATATGGCAAAATGTTTTTCTTCTATGTTAGAGACAATGCATGGCTAAGTGGAAAATAAACCATTTTGGAAACAAAACAGATCTGGGTTTGATTCTAACTGTGCCACTTGATGGCTCTGTAATCTTGACTAGGTTACCAAACATTTCTAAGCTTCAGTTTCTCCCTTTTTAAGACAAAGATGCATTATATCAAAGGATCATTGGGGAGGGAGGATTACAATACATAAATAAAGGACTTAGAACACATAGGCATTATGTGAATGTTAGCTGTTACTCTTGTAACAAATGAGAAGGATCTGTATGATTTTATGGACAGTGAAACTTGAGTTTGTAGTTGAGGAATGATAATGAATAAAATTTCTATTATATAAGTGGAAAGAAGCCTGAATACCTAATATGAATGTATGTCTAGTGTACATATTATTAGATAGGGTGGAATAGGTGGAAATTTGTTTTAGAAAAGAGAATTTGCCTTGGGAGTAGCAGGACTAGGTACAGTGAAGGTGATGAACGTTCTTGAAGGATTAGGACTTGATATGATTGGTGGTAAATATGGATTTTTCAGTCTCTTGGACAGAGCCTACTGCTAAGTAGGTAGTCAACCATTTGAAATTTGCTTTTAATTACAAAAATTTTTAAAGTTCATTTTTAAAAAACAACAGTATAGGTTTAAGTAGAAAGATACCGTTGTCCCCACTCTCACCCCTGTTACTGCTGTCTTACTTTCACAGATAACTCCTGTTTTAGGGTATTTCTTTCCAGATGTCATTATTTAACTCTTTTTTAAAGTATTTTTAATTTTTTACCTTTCAAAGTCATTCTTGCTTTTGAAACATATTTCTGCACCAATTGAAAACTTTAAGTGAAAATGAAAGTACCCTTTTAGTTAACCACTTTTAACAGCTTGAAGATATCTCCAGTTTTTGTTATTCTGCTATGTACTAACATTTTCAGTTCTCTTTAAATTATTAAATATTTCAGACATTCAGAGAGGTATGGAAACTTCTTTTTCCCCCCTGGAGGTTATCACTTTTCTGTAGATACTGTTTATCATTCCTATGAATATTTTTATACTTTTGCTATATAGGTATTTGTCCCTAAACAATATAGTGTTATTTTGAATGCCTTCACTGTCATTTCTTTGGAAACTTAACTTTTTTTTGCACTATGCCTGGAATATAATAGATGCTTAATAATTTAAGTATTAGAGGTGATGATTAGTAAGAATTTTTATGCTAAAATGCCACATTTGCTTCTCTTTTTCTTCACATTATTTCCATGCTAACTTTGCTGTCACAGTTTTAGCAATACTGTCAATAAAAGAATAATGAGCTGTGTGTGTTGGCTCATGCCTGTAATCCCAGCACTTTGGGAGGCTGATGCAGGAGGATCGCTTGATACTAGGAGTTCGAGAGTAACCTGAGCAACAGAGTGAAACCCCATCTCTACAAAAAATTACTTGGTGTGGCACGTGCCTGTAGTCCCAGCTACTCAGGAGGCTGAGGCAGGTAGATAGCTTGAGTCCAGGAGTTTAAGGTTGCAGTGAGTTATAATGATGCCACTGCCCTCTAGCCCAGGCAACAGAGGAAGAACCTGTCTTAAAAAAAAAAAAAGAATAATGAGAAAACAATGATCTTTTCTCTGATCTTATTGATAGCCTTTCGATTGCAGCAGTTTAAAGAGGAAAAGTTTTTAGAAAAGACACGTTGGGCCAGCAATATACGTATGTACTAAGATGAGTTAATGTTCCTTTCTTCTAGTGATTGTCATGTACTTTATATTGATTAGTTAGGTGACTAGAATTGGGCAGATGTAGTCTTTCACTGACCTAGTGTTTTTACAGAAAAAAAAATGATTCCCCCAACCCAAGTTTGCATTTCCTCAGTGATACGACCTCCATCTTTGCAGGTGGAACACTATATAGCCAAAGACTATAGAACCTGTACATTTTTTTTATTCCAACACCTTCATGCAGTCTGAAGAACCTGTAAATTTTAAGGTATTAAAGGCAGGCACATGTTCAGTGCTGTTTCACATACAAGTTTTCCTTCTTTGAAACAGAAAAATGTTCTGTTTTCTTTCTTTTCTTCAGGTTAGTACATATTTCTTGAGTTGAAGAAAGAGATTGCCACTAAATCTTCATTCTTCAAAGAAAAGGCTTTACATACATTTAAAGGGTTATGTTCATTGTCTTACTGTATCCTTGTCCTTGTGTCTCATCGTCTATGCTCCTCCTCAGTCCTAGATCCAATCCTAGATCAGTTCAGTCATTTTTTTTTTATTTTTTATATGCCCAAAGCAGTCAATGCTGTTGGGCAAGATCAGATGATTCCAAGGATTTGTACCATTAATGATTTGAAGATTTTAAAGTCAGCTAACTCTTGTGCTTTCTTAACAGTTGTTATCTGTCTCTTCTTGTCCCATTTTGAACAGTGGCTATTTAAAACTTTATCCTACTCCTAAGGCCTGATACCTCATCTGTGCCCCACTTTATTTTAGCTCACTGCTTGTCATTCATTTGTCCAAGGTAGAACCTAATAGTTATTTTTGATTTGTTCTTTTCCATCACCTCTCCTCATCAAAGTAATTTTAAATTCTTATGACCTTGCCTTTAAAATATCCTTTTGTTTTACTTCCCCTCTCTCTCCACTGCTCTTGCTCTGATTTTTGTATAAACTAGCCTCATAACTAGTCCTGCCTCCTGTCCCATTCTCAACAGTGGTATCTATGTTGACTTTATAATACATATGTAATGATTTTGATTCCTGGATCACAAAGTATAGTCTGCATTTCCTAACAGAGCTTTCATAATCTAACCCTAACTTATCTTTCTAGCTTCATGTTTTGTCAGTCACCCATAGATAAATTTAGTGTTGGGAAGGAAATTAAAGGTGTCTTAGGTATATATGTGGTGTTTATGTACATAAATACCATAGAGATATATGTTATTGTCCAGGGATAATATTCTAATTTAAAAGACATTTTACCTCAGTGAAACCTTTCCCAACACCCTTAGAGAGTAAAAGGTAGAATGTAGAAATCTGTTATAATATAGGTATTTTATATATTATATACTAAAACTTTGGTCAGATCAGGTCTCTTGAAACATTTTGCTTATAGTGAAACTGAAGTTAGAAAATTTTATTAAAGTCCTGATGTAACTATTTTCTATTTTTCTGAAGCCAGTATTACCAAAAAAATTCCCTTGTAGAATAAAGTACATGGTGTATGTTACTATACACAGTACTTTAAGCATATTAAGGTGGCAGCGGTTTCATTTGGTGGTAGGGCTTTTAAAAGCTTGTTTTTATATTGACAGGAATTAGTGTAGATTCCAGCTTTCGGTATGGATGGACTCCCCTTATGTATGCTGCTAGCATTGCCAATGTAGATCTGGTTCGGGTCCTTTTGGACAGAGGTGCTAATGCAAGCTTTGATAAGGGTAAGATGTTTGAGGTAATTTAACTGATTATGTTTACTGTGATTCTTTGATTCCCAAGCAGCTATTCTACGAAGTAAAGAAAAAATCCATTTGAAAAAACTTTTCTATTAGTTGTGTTATGTAAGTAATATCCAGAATCAAATTAGAAACCATACATGTTTTGAAAAACTGTCTTTCCAAAAAGACAGATTTCACTTATTTTTATGAC